AACGATCTTCGAGATCTTCACGCATCCATAAATTTTACAACACACCTTGAGAAGCTGATTCTGTCTTACCAGATCAGCATAGCTTGTAAAACAATTTTTTTTAATTTGGTATTAGTTTTACTTTTATTTGAGGTGCCTATATACAAAGTTCCTTGGAGTTTACGTCAACTTTACAGTAGATTTGTCACATTTTAATGATTAAATTTTGGCCAATAAATTTGCCCGATTAATAAATTATCAAAGCCACCTTACACGACCCGGTCCATTACACAATGTGACAGAAACGCAGGGAATTTAATGAATGTGCTATTTATGACTTTGTAGAAAATTTAATATTACAAGATAAAATAAGGCGTTTTATAGCTGTATTGTACAAATGTCATTCAAAAAGTAACCAGAGTATGTTCAGAATAAAGCTAAACAAAAATGTATTGTTTGTAGATATAAAAGGGGTTGAAAAGCGTATTCATTAATGAAATTCTTTGCATTTCGCTATTTCACGTCAATGGTTTTGGATTGACGTTTTTTCAGAGATGTATCGGTGGTCAAAAAATTATTTGGTTTTATTATTTCACAGTACTGTCATATGTGATGCAAATATTAATGGAATTTACTATCTAAATGCAATAATTTGTTAAACAAGAAAATATAGGACAAAGACAACTCATTTAATTACAAAAGAAATTTTAATGTGAAATGTACTCGTAAAACTTATTCAAAAGTGAAAATTAAGCACACAGTAGAGTGAAATTAGCCCGTAACCGCGTAAATTTGGACACATGTGGTGAAATCCTGCAATGACAATAACCCAGTCTGCAAATACACAGGTAGAAATTCAATAATTAAATTGTGTATCAGATTATGAGAATTATGGGGTTATTTTGAGTGAACGCAAAAGAGTGTACTATATTTAAAAGAGGAAATAAAGTAGTCCAGGGTCAAGTGAAAATAGTTGTTGAGATGATCTGGGGGATTTATACGAAATAACCACAAAGTGTGGTCGTTTCATTTGAATTATATTTCAGGGTTTGTTTTTCCTTTTAGAATTGTTTGTAAATGCGTAATTCTTGTTTAAATTATTGCTTTGTCATTATTCAATTTAGATAACGGGTTGGAAGTAAGAAACATCTGGTCAATTTGAATGTGTTATAAAAAGTTACATCTGGTCGTTGCGATAGGGACTTTTTTGTTAGGCGAAGTTTCATGTCAGCGGAAGTGGAAATGTTTGGCACGTTCCGTCGTGATTTGCGATTGATTTGACAACAACGAGTTTATTTCTGGGTGTTTCCTTAAATATTGGAAGCAACGAGAAAACGGGGCTTTTTCTTTCGTGGCGGTTCGAGAGCGCAACAATTTTCAGGCAGTCAGTCAAAACGTATTTCGATAGTATTGTAATACAGTATGCAGAAGAAGTTAAGCAATCTTAATAAAAGATTTAAGTTATTACATCGTTAAGTGAAGTTACATAAGTTCGAGTTAAGTCTTTTACAGCGTTTTATCCTTTAACGGAAATAGTTGTAGTTAGTAAAAGTTGAATAAAGTAAGCAGTTCTAGTACAGCTTAATGTTTTTTCCTTGTAAATTGAGTCGGTAATTTTTTAATTGATTTACTTCTATTAGTTGTATTTAGTTTTTATGATCAATTTCAAACGGGGAACTTGAAAAATTGAAATTTTTTACGTGAGTTTAAAGTTATATTTGGTCCAGTGTTGATAAAAAGTTGTTATCGAACAAGAATTAATTCGGCAATGTCACGTGCGAGATGAGCGATGCAGGTGCTTTATCAGTTCTAGCGGCGTAGATGGAATTTCAAGTGTAGTCGGGAATAACGACGTTAATTTTGAGGTGGATATTGCTAATATAGGAAGAATGACGAGTTGTCTTAACTTAATCATCCCCATGTTAGTTAAATAATGCGGAAACATTTTTACTGTGTGCAAGAAGTTTTTACACATGGAGTTTCGAGTTTAAAACGTTTGCGTTATTAAGAAAGAAGAAATAATTGCTGTAATACAGAAAAGTCGTACCATTCCAACAGTCACAAAGTCAAGTGTTATTGTCTTCGAGCCAGTTGTGGTGTTTTAAAAGCGAGTTGTTTTTGTTTCTGAGAAGAATCTGTCAGATACGTGTTGAAGTCTGGGTTTTGCCGAACATCGCATATTTCTTCCGATTAGTTTATTGGATTGTTTTAACAGAACTGTGAGTACTTTTTGAGATCTGAGATCTCTTAATTTGTTTTTAGATTGGCCGTTTGTAAACGGGGAGTACTATATTTAAAAGGTACTGTTAACCTGACATTTTTTACAGGATTTTCTTGTACTTCAGTCTTTTTTATGACGTGTGTTAGAATAAATTCTTGTAATTTTGTATCCCTCTGAACGTGAACGGTGTGGTGTCGTAAATTTTGATAAACCAAATCTGTGCAAAATGCACGCGTGCCCAAAGCGAAAGATGCAAAAGATCCCCATTAATCTTTTATAGAATTCGGAAATTTCTAGAAGGGCTCAGTCTTAAAATTCATGCTATTTAAGCGCGCTTCCAACAATACCGAACACGACCCATTTTGATGACGTTTTCTGCAACATTGAATGAACTACGGTTAATTATACTCACTTAATTGGCCTGGTTGAAATTTCTAAATTCATTAGTCCACTTATATCCATTTTTATTTGGAATGTTTATGTAAATCGCAAAGGTCGGTGTTAATTACGCCCACTGCACGGATTTGCATTATACTCGTGTTCAATTAATATTGGGAAGCTAAAGTCGTTTATTAATGAATGAAGGGAGCTGATTTTCTCTCGTCTTCCAAAGGACGGTCTTCGGAGACTGCAAGAATAATTAAAATATCTCCACGGGAACAATGAGAAAATTGAACAATTAGATACGGCATCTTGTTTTCCGTTCGATTCCATTCATATACTGGGTGTGCATTAAATCGGGTAGAATCCCTGTACGAACACAGGTACATCTTGAGAACATAAAATAGACCACTTAATATAAAACTTTCTGCGAACAACGCTGAAAACATGGGTAACAACCCTACGCCTACGCCGTAGCAATTTTAACTTACTCCTTCAGGATCATTAAATGGTAAAACACAGACCTAAACGAAGCTTTATTTAGTCTACTAAAACGTTCCCCGTGTAAGTGAGGAAAATGACAGATTCTCGCACTCGTAAAAGTTGTCAACAGTAGACTATTAAATGTTGACAAAGTTGCACCTGTTGAGGCGTAACGGAAATTACTCGTCCAAATAATTTCACGCAGATCATCTACTGGTGCATTAAATAATATAGGTACTATTTTCCAGTAGTTTAACGGGTTTAGTCTAGCGAATCCCAGAATACGTCTACAACAGAAACGCTCGTTACTTAATCGCATATTGTTATTCAAGGCACTTGTCGAGTCTTTCTGTATCAAAAATAGTAGTTGTAATGTATAATTATATGTTGCAAGTTAAATCTATAGTGACATTTAATTAAACATCCAAACGTGACTTATTTATCAAAGTTTTAACGAGTTATTGGATGAAAATTCATTTTTTTTATTGGAACTCCGAAAGCATACGAAGGAGAACTATTTTGCAATAGTTTTCGGAGTCACTCAATTACATTATTAAAGAAGTTTTGCTAATCCTCACTTCGTAAACTATTGCGCGAGTACAGTAAAAATAAATAAACTGCTTGTCTCGTAGTGTTATACTTTCACGGGGTTTAAGGGGAATCACCGTATATTATTCCAGACTGCCTAAGTGTAATAAAGAGCTTCGGAGCCTTAGGAGAGCGTGCGATATACTTACAGACAGTTGTGATTTAATACCAGAATACAATTATGATTTCTTGCTCTGCTGAGAAATTATCTTCCTGTAGATTAGTAGATATAAATCAAGCTGCAGCTTGGCATTCATAACGAGAGTGTACTTATTTTTTACAATACTACCACTCATTCTCATACAGCTCTATTAAGAGTAGGTACACGGTTTCAATTACGCTTATTTGTTTTATGGTAATTTTATGCGTCGGTAACCTACATATATCAAAATTTTGTAATCAATAATCGAGAACTGCGCAGTCTTTCATATTATGTTAAAGCAGAGAATGTTGTCTGTGGTTAAAGTAAGGTGTCACTACCCCATTTAATGGTTTAAGTAGACGCCTTAACTTTTTTTAATCGCTTGATTCTGATACTTTTCCAGCTGGCTTACGTTGCTTTTACCCTCTTGGTGCTAAGCGCCCCTAATTCTGAATGTAAAGTGGTAATGACCATTAGGTGATTCTATACCATTCCTCAAATGTGCGTGTTTAACCGTTCAAATTGTATTTATTTGATTTGAATTTTGAAGTTTGACACCAATATATCTGTATGATGCTTAAAAAAAAACTAAATATAATTTCATATCAACGACGAATTTGTGACTTCAGTACGAGTACAACTATTTCGCATGTCAAAAGTTGAAAAGCATGAAATATGTGAACTTTAAAACAAAAACGATGAGTTGTTATGCGAACTGTAACTAGTTTGAAACTACATTCTAAATATATGCACGGGGGCATTATAAATGTTTACTGAAAATTAGTTGTACTAAAAGCGTTATCAATCCGTGCGGCACAATGCGACATTTTTTCCTTTCAAGGAATATACGGAATTAATAAATCGCTTGATCGCCTGTCAGTGGAATCAGATAAGAAATATGTTTCCAGCCTAGGAAATTTATACACACAAAGTTAGCGATGCGTTTTCTGTACAACGAATTGAAAACGTAGAGGTTTCACGGAAAGTTCAAACTTTCAATATTTTAAAGGCGAAGAAGTGTACTTTCAGTAGATTTTTACTTCAGTAATTTTACATTTCAAATTCCAAAGCAATCTTTGAAAGTGCTTTTAATAAATTTCCACGCCACAAAACTTTTTTAATACTACACGCATACTCCTTATTTTGCCCTAAAATTAATGTGTAATTTTATAATGAAAAGACGTTTAATTTGGTTTGTTTATTAAGTCGCAGGAGACCCTCGAGTATCTGTTCGGAAGACGGTAGTAAATCCAGACCCCTCGGAAATGGAAGCTTTAAAGTCGGCGGAAACGGTTGTGCCAAGCTGAAGCGACATAATGCTTGCAGACAGAAAAGTCGCGATATTATTTCTGTGAGTGAAGACCCCAAATACGTCTTGGAGGATAACGTAAGTAGCACATTTTCATTTGTTCTGTTTACTTACGACGTATTTTTTTGACCTATTAAACCGAAAATGTGTTTCCAAATTTGTTTGATATGTGCGCAAGTGTTGAACGCGATTTCGTGTAGTTTGCGTTGGTTGAATTAGAAAAAGCCCCACATTTTTAATTGAAGTGTCACATGCCATCGTTCTATCTATTTAGTTAACTAACTGTGCGGAAGAGGAACATGGATTTAATCAGAGATCTACACAAATACCAAACAATAGAAGTTGGTTTCTTACGAAATCCCTTAAAGTAATCAGATTGCGAGCCCTTACGCAATTTGAGGTAATGAGAAACATTAACCGTTAAATTAATATTACAGTTAGTATTATGCAAGAGAGAAATATGCCAATTTTATTTTGATTTTCTCATTAGATTTTAAGATTTGTCTCAAGTTTATAATAATTAATAATTCACACTGGCCACTGATTAATTGCCTAGTATCTATGCAAATTTGAACTTTCACTTGCAACCTTGCCGAATCTAAGCATATTATCATCCATTGTCTCATAGTAACGAATACAATTTTGGAACCTGAAATTTTCACAGCTTTTATTATGCCGTAAACATTGCGTCTTTTTTATTGCGTGTAATAAAATCTTTACTAATGTGTAAGAGGCCCATTTGGAATACGCCATTCGAACGGTGATTTTAGTTGTTTTGTTGCTTCGGCTACAGATGGTGGCAGGTTTACCCTCTGAAACTTTTATTCACTGGGTTCAACTAAATTGTAAATTCCAACCAACTGACCGACAAAGTGGACGATGGAAACTTTGACTAGGTAAGTTAAAACTAGAGATCGCTGTATTTCTATTTAATACGTACGTTAGTAACATTTGCTACAGTGGTATTGACAAAATACCTTGATGTACCTAATTTTGGTGAAATAACATTTTTAGTAAATCTAGATTGTACTAATCTATACGAGGTTACGATGAAATTGAAGCAAAGATTTTTTCTTGTGATCGTTATTTGCATGTATTTTGTTATAAGCTTACGCTGTAAGTTCAAAATCAACCTACATTGAAATAGGAAACTTAAAATTTGTTACCGAACTCTAAACCGCATGTAGGGAAATAGCAGATAACATGAGCAATCCAGAACTTTCCCTTAACTTGCAAAGCAAAACCAAAAGAGTTGGTTAGACGCTTTCTATGATTTGGAAATGGACACTATAATGGCTAAATTTCTAAAGTACCACAAGGATTACATATCTAGCTTATATGGTTACAGTTTACGTTACAGTTGTGAAGTGAAACTCGCCTATATCTGGTGGTGAAGTGGTAATAGTCGCGACATTGATATTCAGTTTTTAAATACGAGGAACATCCTCGACATGTGTGCGGTATTTAATCACTTAAATTTGCATGGAAAACCCTGAAATTTAATTGAAACAGGCACTCTGAGATTCGTCCGGATATTTGAGCAATTTTGGGAGTGAATTAGGTTAGGATTGATGTCAAGTTCGTGGCGAATGGACGACATATCTGTGATAATTATATCGCGGTAATTGAATTACTATTTAAGTTGCGATCGTGGGGACAGGGTTATCTATTCTAGGATGTAAAGTGGTAATGATCGCTCCTAATCCTTCATTTTTGATTACTGAAATGATCATATTGAACTGCGTGATTAAATTAAATTTATTTGGGGTTCCCAAATGTGTTTGAGCATAATTTTTAAGTAGCATAAATCCACCCGCTTATCTTTAGTAATTTAGGGGGAGTGTTAGGTCAACAGGAAATAAATGTACAGATTTATAGAAGATCATTTATCGAGTACTAAATTTTCTATAAAAAAATAAGCAACGGCATAAATATTTATGTCTTTCATCCACCATTGAAGAGATTCGACGCCTAGTCCCAACCATTTACAGATGAAATGAATATTTTCGACATAAATCAATCAAATAATCTGAAATAAAAATAGGCGTTCGGCTCAGAATAACACGCAATAAGCGATCAATTCATTAAAGAAATCATAATTGCCTTAAAGTGTCGATAATGCAAAATCTCCGGTCGTAAATGCGACGCACAAACAAAGAAACGTCAAGTGATATTGCTTCGAAACTTCACTTCCCGACTTCAATTATATCATTCGAATCTCAATTTAGACGACACTAATTTCGTTGCAATTATAATTATAGTATTGTCCCTTTGATAGTGGATAGAACCCCCTTTACCAGGTACTGGGAAAGTTCTTTGTAATTGTAAAACACGCTTCCGATTAAATCGATTAACGACGTTGTCTTGAAACTGGTTAGCTTTGCAGCGATAAGAAAACTTCTTATCTTCGAGATAAACTTTTACAAATACTACTGTGATGTATTGCTATTGTGTGCTTCCCATTGCTATGTGCGCGAAATAGTAAACTTAAGAGTTGTCATATTATTACGTGTGTTTACTTTCAGTTATTTTACTATACTTAATAAAATTATTGCAATTTATAAGTTATTATTTGCCCTTAGTATCGCAGTTGCGCTTCTACGCCACTTCGCCACACATGCCAACTTCATAAAAGGAGCCCGCCCAGACAGCACTTAGGTACACCAAAGGTTCCTACCCCCATTCCTCCGTATCCAGATTCAGAGCCCCCTCTCAATAAAGGATAGGACCCTATTTAGTCTTAGTTGCTTCATCCTCCCCGGTTTCAGATAACTGTTCCCATGGTCCGTCTTTGCTTAAGGCGTCACAGTGACAGACCACATGTTCGGTAGTTTCATCTGCCTCGCCACAGAACCTACACGTAGACTCTTCTACAAGCCCAGTGTTAAGCATGTGATGGTTGACCATCTAGTGTTCCGTAGGGACACCGGTGATCTTCCTAATCGGGCTTCTATTCAGTTTCAGAAGACCCAGATTTGGCAAGGTTAAAATTGCCAGGGCCTGGCCGGTTGCTTGTTCCCACTGTGCCTGGAATATTGAGTGATCGCCCTGTTTTTAATCGTGGCCCTGATAATGGAGGGAGCAATTCCTGCGGTAGGCTCGGGCATTTATCGTTAACAATATATGAAATTCACATGCAGTGGTCTCATCGTTATTGCATGTGCCGAATTCAAACAAGAAAACCTGCTTGACGTATCTTAACATAATGTGCAAATAACCACATGAATCGGCGTTTTGTAGACGCTGTTTAAATTCTGTAGTATTTTCTCACGAATTCAAAGGTTACTTCAACGTTGGAGAGGGTGGGGGCATATGACAAGTTGGTATTGGTTGATTTTGACCAGACTAACATAAACTGCTGTGGGCGTTGTGACTAAAGTTGATGCGTTGCACTTGTGATGCAAGTCACCTCTGTATGTGTATGTAAAATGGTAATGGTCCTCGTCTTCTTGTAAAATTGGATGTATTCTTAAAATGTCCACGTTGAACCATGTTTGAAATTTGCAAATTAAATTTATTACTTCGGTACTATTAATGATTTTGTATTCTATCATCCATTTGCTTCCCGATTCGTTCATCCGCGAAACATCGTTTTTCTATTTTTAGTAATAAACCGTTACTTTTATATGAAAAAATCCCATAAAAATGAATACGTGTTGGTTGTAGGTACCTAAACCGTGACGAAATTGTGCTTTTTATTGAAATATTGCAATCAAATGCCATGCGGTTATTACATTAATCACGAATATGAGTGCAATTAAACTATCGCGTCGGTTTTTTGTGCCGAACTAGTTTATTAAATCCCGAAACCGCCTACCGTATCGCTTTACTTGTAAAATGAACAACGTATGTAGCTCGAATGAGTTTTAGTCGCCTCCGGCATGAAATACTATATTATAATGTTCAGCTTTGTTTCAACTCAATAGTAGAACTGTTGTGTAATTAATTGGATGCTAATACCTGCAGAAATGAATTTCCTAAACCGCAATACTTTTTATACTGTTCCCTTGCTGCTACACACCGCACACTTTATACAGCAAAGGTCGAAATTTATTGCCGTTTAAGCTGTAAACATTGCGGTATCTGCGGCGTACCTTAAATTTCGACATAGATACAATATTTATTTTTGCAAAAAGGCCCGGAGCTCTTTATTGATTAAAAATTCGCAGACAGGATTTCGATTTGAGCTGTGGCGTAGCAATACCACTGAAAGCGACATGTCTAAAATTGGAAACTATTTACGATCCGAAACTGCACGCCTATAAATTGGGGTGATAAATAACCCAACAATTAATCGATCACCGTTTGTCTTCGCTAATAATCTCATTGTATAGCAAAAACGATGGTGGATATGCATAGTGTTTAATTTCGCTCATGTTAAATAAAAACAGCAGAATTAAAAAGAAAAATCATTTTGGCGGCGAAGGTGAAATTGCATTTTCATCTGAAACAAGTTGGGCTGTAAATTACCATTCTAATTAAAAGGTGAAGGGAATGAAAGTAACACGGAAGTAAAAGACCTTCTCACTAAGGTTGTCTTTTACGTGCCAGATTGACATTAATTTAAGCTTTTCTGTATCAAGGCTTTTCGTTCTTTCCGCTTACGTGTAAACTGCTAAAAAGCAAACGCCTCTAGAAAGATATTTGCAACTTTCAGTTTCTATATCGCTTAGAAAAATTTTGGGAAGTGAAATAATAGTAGCAAAGTTGGTATTGAAACGTAAACTATAGGAAGGGAACGGAAATTAGCCGTTAATCTTTACAATTCGACCTTGCTGGGTGTTGAAACAACTTTTATGATAGATTGAAGCGTGTCGACATAGAAAACTTTTCAAACATGATTATAAGGGCGACAATTTTAGGCACAAATGTGATAAAAGGAAGCAGGAGAATATTTTAAAGCGGAGTTTGATGTGAGTTACGTTTTTACCTTTTCTACCGCATATATAGTCAACTTACTAACTAGGAACACGCAGCATGAATTCTTTATGATTGCTCCCTAACCGCGCGAAAGAAACGCCCACGCATCAACGTTTATGGGATAAATTTAAATTGAATTTGCAACGTTTAGGAAAAGAGGTTTTTGTTAAAATTGCAGTATCTTATATCCAACAGGTGTTATTCATGCTAGATGTTTATTTATT